CCCCCGGGTGTCCTGGTGGGCTCGCGCGGAGGCGGCGGGCTAGGAGGCTCGCAGGGGGATGGAGGTGCGAAAACGAAACCGGGATTTCTAGAGAAGTGCGACTTCCAAGATGCCGAGTTCGTTTGGTGAGAGGGCTCGGCCAGAGTCCGTCTTCCAGAAGATGGCTGAAGGGTGCCGCGCCAGCGGCCGGGGGGGGGGGTGGCAGCCGTTGGGACGGCTGTCGTCTGGCAAGGCGTGTGTCTGCCGGGGGAGAGCAGGGCCCGAGCCGACTCCCTGCTGTAGCGCCGGCTTTGCAGGGAGGGGGTGAAGTGTGCTGCTAGCTGAAGACTGAGCTGCCTTTACCTGCCAGGCACGAATGTTGGGCATCTTCATGCTTGTGAAAGTGGAGGGGGATAGTTTGAATCCAGCGTAGTCTGTGCAAAAGAGAGAGAAGGATTTCATGCAGTGGTCGAGCTACCCCTTGAGACGTACGGATGTCCCGTGCCAACGCGCGACACCGACCACAGTGGAGTCTGGTTCAGTATTGAAGTCCCCAAATGCAATAAGCTTCAGCACTGGTCATCTGTGCTGTCGTTAGCCATGGGGGGAAAAAGATTCTTCCCATAGTGCTTTCAAAACAACTCCCTGAATTTACGTAGCATCCTGTCTGCCACTCCTCTGGTGATTTTGCAGAGATTTGTGAGCTAAAACACTTTCAGAATGAAGTGTCGATATTGACAGAAAGCTCTCCACTTTCTTAGTGTGGTGAGTACAGGATAGTATCACTGTTACATATTTTACACCTTTTATGATAAATACCTGTACTGTTCCTGGCGAAGCAGTGAGAAGAAACCTAACATGAAGAGCTCACTTCTGTTTATGCAAGTTTTGTCCTCAAATTCATGCGTACAGCTGTATTTCAGCTGCAAATTTCATACCCTGGTATAAGTGTCAATAGTTGGACTCATCTAGCTGATTGGTATCTAGAATAAAACCAAGCCGGAGACCAGCTTATTCAAGCTGGAGAAGTGTGCTTTGAGCTAGAAACCGCAGATGCAACTTTACAGCTGCCTTTCTGCATGCGTTGTTGTCTTTGTAATCATGCTGCAGCTTTTAAGAACAGTAACTTAAGCCTCAAGTTGATATTTGCATCCATCTTTACTTGAACTACTCTCCAGGGGTCATATAGTCAGCAGATGGACCTAGCCTTTTAACAAAAGGTTGTAGAGAACTGAAAAAACGTGGAAGTACTTTATTTGAAATGTTTTTTACATTTCTGCTTGGTTAATCTAAACAAATGTAGCATTTACATCTTAATCTCTGGCTGCCTTTGGGCAGACTGTCCTGTGCCTCTCTGGATCTTCAGTGGAATCCCACTTACGAGCAGCTGAATAAAAGCTTTCAGCCTAAATCTTTGCAGATCACAGAGATTAGATCTGTAACTTCTTTCCTTGTTTCTTTAGTGGGTGCACCTTTTGGTATGGGTATGTATTTGAAATCTGTAGCAATTTAAAATATGTCTAACCATTGCAGAAAACAGTCTTCAGCCAAGCAGTTTGCAGCGAGGCTCGATTTACAAAGCCCTGTGATACTTTGCCTAGTGACTAATGCACTACACAGGGCCTCGATAGTCCCAAATTTTATTCCCATTTCTGCTGCTGTCCTGTGGGGTGAGTTTCGACAAGTCACTTTGTCATAGTTTCACCACCTGCAAAACAGACATTCGTCACTGGCTTCATTTGTAAAATGCTTTAAGGTCTGCTAATATATATAGGACTATATAACATTCATGCGTTCTTATCCTTGGGGCAAGGAGTGCAGGATAAAAACTGGTGCGTTTAGTTGGCCTCTTTTAATGTACCCAGGTTCTAGATCCTGCAGGCATTGCTGCATGCAAGCAGTCTCCATCACTCTTAATGGGCCTACCTATTTCTCTGAAACCTCTCCAGAAACAGAGTAAAGATAATTTATGCTGTGTGTACTGGAGACTCATTGTGATAATTTTTACTCCTTTTGTTTTCCCCATGGGCACAAGAGGCTGCTTCGCTGTTGTTGGTTTGTGAGCGAGAGTCCTGATAGCAAGACTGGCTCTTCCACACACCAGATCAAGGTGCTGTCATTCCTACCTTTCCCTCTCCCCACTCGATTTTGGAATTTGTACTTTACTGAACGGACTAGAATGAGTTCAATGATGCTTACAGGCATACATTCTCCATGAGATAATAGACGTTAGAAGTTAGTGTTGTACCAGGGAAATTCAATACAGCTGGGAATCGTATGCTGCTCAGCCGAGATGCTGTGCATTTACAGTAAAAGCACTTTAACACATTTTGGCTCTACAGGTTTTTGTCTTGGGGTTATTAATGTCGCTTTATCTGAGTACTTATTGGAAATATTTCTTCTTCAGATGCATTTTCCAGAAGCTTTTCACACTCTTAATGTGGGTTTATTAGATTTTGCATGAAATTCTCATTATTGTTGTGTTCTTGTCTTCCATGTTTCTTTGACTTAGAGCAAGGAAGAATACTGAAAACTGCAATCCAATGGTGGGGGTGGGAGTGGACAACCATAAGATGTTACAGATGTTGTGGTTTGCTTCTCCTTCCCAGTTTTCGATTCAGTGCCTCTATAAAGATGCATCACGCATCCAACAGTTGTATATACATACTTGGCACACAAGGTTTTGAGAGCCCTGGTGCTTAAAGATGGCTAATGCAGGCGAACGCTGAGCCCTGCAGGAAAGGAGAGGTTCCTTGTGATTCCGAGAAACCTGTGCAAATCCCAAGGTGCTGTTCATGTATAATAACTTGTAGAAATTGGAGCCGGCTTTTCTTTAAATATAGGCATGGAGTTTATTATCTCTCCAAGCTGTAATGGTGGAATGTAAATGTTTGAATTGATTTGTGAGTCATGTTGGATGTTATGTATCAGATGGGCTGGAAGCAAAATTAATAGAAACTCATTCATACTGTGGTAGAAATTCACATAAAATTGTCTTTGTATTTCATTGATTATTGCCTAAAGTTAAATAACAAACAAAAATGATGCAATATTTAAAATTGCTTTTTTTCTTCAGCTGGTGTACTTTTTTTAAAGATGGGACCTTCTCCTTGGGTTTGAATTATCTTACTTGGAACTTTTTGTTCGAGGCTTGTTTCATTATTGGTATTTCTTTAACTACATAATGTATATTTGGGTTCTTTAAACAAATAATCCAATAAGACACCTGGTCTATCATAAGGTGTTCTGTTTTTAATGAACCTGGTTTGCTTCTATGTGCAATGTGATTCTGGGAGCTTCAATAATTTAAACTTTTTTTTTTTTAGAAATTATTACAAAAGTGCAAAATGTCTTAAAACACACTGTTAGATTCTAATGT